AAATTAATATTCTTTCATTATATCATTTTCTCTAGAATTTTTTTCCTTGATTGATATTGTTTATTTCCCATAAGGCAAGATTTTATCATACCTGGAATTTTATATTAAATTTTTTTTACCATAGGGCTGGAGAGATGGCTCAGAAGTTAAGAGCACTTGCTGTTCTTGGGAGGAATTCAGATTCAGTTCCTAGCAGCCACATGGAGGTTCACAGCCATCTGTAACTTCAGTTCCAGAGCATCCTTGCTCTCCTCCAGCCTCCATAGCCACCAGGCTCACATGGTGCACAAACGTACATGCAGGCAAAACATTCATACACATAAAATAATGAAATAAAAATAAATCTTAAGCCAGGCATGATGTTGCACATCTTTAGTCCCAACATTTGGGAGGGGGAGCCAGGTGTATTTCTGTGAGCTTGAGGCCAGCCTTATCTACATAGTGAGTTCCAGGCCAGCTGGGGCTATAGGGAGACCCTATCTCAAAAAGACATAAGTAAATAAATAAAAATAAGTAAATAAATAAATACATATATAAACACATAAATAAATCTTTTAAAAAATTTTTGCCAGGCCTGGTAGCTCATTCCAACACTCAGAAGGCTGAGGCAGGAGGATTTCAAGGCTAGCCTGGCTATAGTGTGAGACCCTAGCTCCAAAAAAAGAAAAAGGTAATCTTTTCTTTCTCACTGCTAAGAGTTTTTGACTAGGAAAACTAGCTTGAACTATGGGCTTTTAAAATTCAAAGCTGGGTGTGGTGTTGCACACCTTTAGTCCCAGCACTCAGGAGGCAGAGGCAAGCGGTACTCTGTGAGTTCAAGGTCAGCCTGGTCTACAAAGCGAGTTCCAGGCCAGCTGGGGCTACAGAGAGACCCTGTCTCAAAAAGACAAAAAAAAATTCTATGAACTTGGGCTAGAGAGAGGGTTCTGCAGTTAAGAGCACTTGCTACTCTTGCAGAGGACCCAGGTTCAGTTTCCAGTACCCACATGGTGGCAACAACCGTTTATAACTCCAATTCCAAGGGATCTGATGCCCTCTTCTGATCTCGAGGCACTGCACACATGTGGTGCACCTATCTGCAGGCAAAAAACTTGAAGAAATCAAAAGAATTTTGTAATAAAAATGTACTCTATTTTAATAATATAGAGAGAAATGCACACTACTAGCTCTATTTCTTAATATTCTGTCACATTGATCACTTCATGGAATCTGTTTGTAGGAGGTCCATGTATTATTATTCTGTATTTATGAATGACTCAGAGGACAACTTGATCTAGGTCATAAAAGAATTCACTGATGGGGGCTGGAGTGATTGCTCAGCCGTTATGAGCACTCTGTGCCTGCAGAAGATCCAGGTTTGGTGCCCAGCACCTACATGGTGACTAACAACCATCCTTAACTCCAGTTCCAGGGGATTAGATGTCCCCTCCTGACATCTGATGGCATTGCACACACTCCATACATATACATACATGTGGGCAAAGCACTCCTACACATAAAATAAAAATAAATAAAATTTTTGAAAAAGAATGTTTGTACTCTTGGCTTTCTATGCAAAATCTGAGACTGAAAATTACTGAGATCTAAGAAACTTACTAAGAATAAAGGGTTGGGATCAGCAAAGCCAAAGGGAACCAAATCCCACATGTGTGAGACTCATCAGGCAGTGACATGCAGTGGGAGCTGACAGATCAGATCATTAGGAGAGAACACCAGGTCAGCACTCTTCGAATGCTACAAAGATTTGAGTTGTTTTGACATCAGCAAATGTCCTGGATAAGCACGAGAGAGGAATGTTCTTCACAAACACCTTCCTTTTGTTCCTCTCTATGTCACTATAATAAAGACTATAAATAAAGGTTATCACAGTATCACTGTCTGTTTAAGAAGATGAAAATTGAGCTTACTGTATTAATGAAGACAGAAGAGGGAGAAGAGTTGAATTGACTGGGTTTTTGTTTCTGAAATTTATTTTTATTTTTGTTTTGCCATTCAGTCTCAGTTATATTAAATTCAATATTTATGTAACTGAATCAGTAAAAGGACATCATTTGGAGAGTATCATTACTTAGTTTACCCAAATAGAAAGTCAGGCATTGTGAATAGAATATTTTTATCTTTCTTTTTTTTTAAATTAATTTTTTATTTGTGTGTGTGTGTGTGTTCAGAACACATGTGGAAGTCAGAGGATAATTTTGTAGAGTCAGTTCTCTCCACTTTCATGTGGGTTTCAGGGATCAAACTCAGGTTGTCCGGCTTATGCATCAAGTGCTTTACCCACTGAGCCATCTTGCCAGCCCTGCATGCCCATTTTCTATGTAGAACAGAATATAGAGGAGACGGTAGAGCTGGCGCGATGGCTCAGCAGTTAAGAGCGCTTGCTGGTCTTTTAGAAGACCTGAGTTGGGTTCCCACCACCACCTGTTTGGTCCAGCTCTGGAGATCTGACACCCTCTTCTGGTCACTGTAGTTACCTACACATACACACACAGATACATAAATTTAAAGAAATAAGTCTTTAAAACAAGAAGATAATATTTATCATATGTATTGTATTTTTATACCAAGCAACTCAAGCTCCACTTCTACTGGAATATGCCTATGGTTATAGGAAACATACAGCCCTGTTCACTTAACATTGTGGGTATATAGAGAAGGGAGTTTATTCCATGCTGCTTGAGAAGAGTTCAAATGACATGATACCACAGCAAGGGGAATCTAGTTTCAGACTGTACCCTATTGTCCATTTTCTTGCAGGATGATCAGGATGATGCATTTGTGAAATGGAGAGTAGAGAATTCATGGGGTGAAGACCATGGCCACAAAGGTAAGCATAGAGCTCTATGTAACTGGGGTCTGCTCTACTCTCTGCCTCTGGATAGAAAGCTGCTTTAGTATAGAGGATTTTTCAGCACTTCATTCCTCAGCTAAGCTATTCCACAGAAAAGCAGGAGGTTCTGGTTTTCCTTGGACTTCCTATAACTTCCATGGTTTGCCTAAACCCCTAGGTTAACTCTAAGACCTATATGTGTTATTTATTCCAAACCATACTGACTCTGCCAGAACCCCTTGGCTAAATGCAAAGTTGAGTGTCTGTTGCAGGACATTTGCTCTGTAGCATTTAATACATTTTTGTGCAGTGCACTATCACTTTAGAAATCTTCCAAGAGGGAGAATGGGATCAGCAAAAATCTTTAACAATCTCTTAGGATTCTCTTGGAAGTTATGAAGCCTAAAGAAAAGAACAGTTACCATTTAGACTTTTTTTTTATATGTGTGAATGTTTGCCTGCATGTATGCACTATGTGCATATGCCTGTGGAAACCAGAAGAGGGTGTTGGATCACCTGGAGCTGGAGATACAGTTGTGAGATACCATGTGGGTGCTGAGAACTGAACAAGAGATGTCTCTCCAGCCCCCCATTTTGAATGTTTTTATACTGACAGGTCCAAACCCTGGCAGAAAACAGAGTAAGTTACAACAACAAGGCTAAGCAAAACACATGGGTGATGTATAAGTTGAAGAAAAATTTAAAATACAGATAACAAAGAGAAAATTAAAACCTGTAAAATCTGACTACCAATTAAAGTTGGGCATATTCTTAAAATTTTTTTAAGCAATACCTCTACAGAATAGTTTCGTATCTAAAGCCATATAGGAGGTTCTGCTTTGACTTAGGGTTCCTATAAGCTATGTGGGTGTACTTAAACCCCCAGGTTAACTCTTAAGAACTATATACCGTGTATATTGGTATATTTCCAAAGGAGAGTTTTATGTTTAATTTTTAGCTCTTCAACCTGAAAGTGGTGGCTAGCGATATAGCTTGGTGGTAGAATGCTGGCTAGGCCCTGGAGCCAATCCCCAGTATGGATAGAAGAAGGGAAGGAGACAGAGGGAGGAAGGGAGGGAAAAAAGGCCAGGTCTGGTGGCACTGCCTTATAATCCCAGTTATTTGAGGGACTGAGGCAGGAAGATTGAATGTTCAAGGCCAGCCTAGGCAACTTAGACTGTCTCAAAATAATAACAACCAAAAATAATTGGACTGAGGCTAGACCTTAGTAGAAGAGTTCTTGCCTATCATGCATAAGGCCCCAGGTTAATCCCCAGTACTGCAAAACAAAACAGTAGCTACAATAGCATATGTAATAGGACCACATACATGCATGCGTGTTATGTGCTGGTGCTATTTGTGCCAGCTCTTTTCCAGCATCTATATTCTTTTATGTCAGTGGATTCCTTTTGGGGAAAAAAACACATTAACCACAGCTTTCTAATCTAGTGGGAAGACTGACAGAGTGAGTATGGAAACCAGAGGTGCAAGATACCTGATACAGAGAACCCAATTTAAACTTGCATCTCATCCAGTAGGAATCAGCCAGAAGGAGGGGGAAGGAAGGATCTCAGCAATTCTTTGCTAGCGCCCTTTCTGTGATTAGAATAGTGGTTTTCCAACCATGTTCTTTGGCACTCTGGGATTTCCAAAAGCAAAAGATGAAGGAAGGGGTGTGAAGGTTTGAAAGTGAGCAGACGGGGCTTCCATTACTCACATTTGAAAGCTGTCTAAGCAGCCATGACCTGTTTTGAGCTTGACAGGACTTAGTATTCTAATTGAGCAGCACAGCCCTGTATATAAATATGATGGCCAAAATCTGAAGACTGTTTACAATCTATCATTCTGAGACTTTTTCATCTCCACGTGAGAATGATCACTGGTAGGCTTTGGCTGACTGTCCCTGTGAGCTGCTGTGAAACTCAGCAGCTCAGTGTTTAGATAGCAATATAAGCCGATTAGTGCCTCTCATCCACGTTTGGCAATCACATATCCCTCTTTGTGATTTCTGTGATTAAGTTCAGTTAGGATTCACAGTGCAATATTTTTTAAATGATGTTTTAGCCAAACTTCATTTTGAGTGAAACGCCTTGTATCATTTGAGACAAACACCAATTGGAATCTGGGAGTAAAGGGTTTAAGCCTTAACAAAGCTAACAAAAAGATTGAAGAAAGCTCAGTTAAATCTGTAAATCAGTGAATGTTAAATGGATGCTTAAGTCAAAAAGATTGGATTACTTGCAGCAAATCTAAAATACTGGGTTCAAGTTGTTATTCTCCAGCTTCAGAGGAACCTCTTTGGTTCCTATCTCTGTTCTCATTGGGTATCAGTAAATGGAGCTGTTATTCTGTAAGACAGCATCCAGGAAAAGGACTACAGTTGCTAGTTAGGACAGCCTGCATCTGGCAACTTGCTTTTTTGGTACTTTGGTTCTGTAAAGTCGCTGGACTTTCGATAGTAGTGATTCCATTTAAGAGCGAATAACACCTTAAAACTAGAAGTATGTTTTGTATAGTGTCTTCATTGTGCTGAAGCTCAGTGTCTGCTCAGAGGGTTTTGAGCACTTTGTTCATTTCCCCTGTGGTTGTACCTTTTTACTCCTATGCAATGCAGGCTTTACTTCCCACTTAGCCTGTTATCATGGTGAGGAAACTGGGGTGTTGACTTCTGCACACTGCCTATAATCATTCCTGGTGAAATCTGCAACTATCTAGTGAAGATTAAATAATTATGTTGTTGTTTTTTTCAAATAACTGAAATGCCTGAGATGTACTGAGTAAAACCTTTCAGTAGAAAGCCAAAAAGATAAGAAATTGAACTGAGGATGTGCAAGGAATAGTTCATTCAAAGCCAAAATAAATTATTCTCCTGTATTTCTTGGTAATTTTTTTTCTGACTTAATAGGAAGGAAGGAAAGAAAACATGATCTAATTTTATTGGCATACTTGGCCTGACCTTCAGAGAACACCTAGTATGTTATTCTGCTGACAATGTGTGTTTACTCTAGTAAGATACTCCTGTCTGCCATTCTGGTGGGCTTTGGCTGGCCGAGGGGAGGCAGGACTTGTGTTTGTGTGAGGCAAGACCCTGGAATTTTGTTTCTGTAGATAACATTGTTAGCAGTTTGTTGTTACTATTCTCTTTGGGATTTCTTTCTGTTACAATGATGTTTCTGGAAAAAGCAGCTTTGATAATACAAGCTAGAGATAACACAGATACCTAGACAAGATGCTCTTGCCCTCTGTCCAGTCTTGGCTTTGATATTCCCCATTGGTCAAGTTCATGACCTTTCCTGCCCAGAGACTCTTAGGTAAATCAGATAACCTGTTTGACAAAGTGAGCAGAGGCTCCTTCTGACCAAGAGAGACAGGAGAAACCGAGTTCTTGCCTTGCCGCACCAGTTAGGCTGCTTCATGCTGGTGAATACTCTCCAAGTATCCATAGTCAGCTATACTAGAAATGGAATGCATATTGAGGGTGTACCCCATTATGGCTCTTTTTCTCCCCTGCTTCTTGAAGTATTTGTACTTTGTCTGTGAATCATATCGCAAATGAATTTCATAGTTAGATGAGGAATTAGACCTTGGGATTTGTTACCTTTTATTTTTAAGAGTTAATATGGTAGGCCAGGCGTGGTGGCACACACCTTTAATCCCAGCACTTGGGAGGCAGAGGCAGGCAGATCTCTGTGAGTTCCAGGCCAACTGGGGCTTCTCAAGAAGACCAAAAAAAAGTTAATATGGTAAAATATTTTGTAAGCTATTTAGAAGTTTAAATTAGAAGAAATATTGTTGGATATGGTGGTGTACACCTGTAAATCCTAGTATTTGGGAGATAGAGGCAGGAAGAACAGGAGTTCAAGGTCATCCTTGGCTACATAGTAAGTTTAAGGATGGCCAGGGCTACTTGAGACCCTGTCTCAATGCCCCCTCTGCCTCCCCAATAGAGGAAAAATAGCCTTTGGTTCCTCTCACCCTTAGAAATTCACCTTGAGAGAGTGTCATCTTTAAGCCAAAGCAACCCACAGGCTTCCAACCAAGTTAATCAGAGGTAGAGCTAGAATTACAACCCAGTCTGACACCAGAGCCAGTTTTCCTAACTACCAAACTGCTTTCCCTGAACTGTGCTCTTCTGGAAGCACCTACCCCTCATAGAAATAACAACTCAGTTCATGATTATTTGTGACCAGAAGCAATGGCTGAGAGGACATAAAAATCTGTAAAGGATCTGAAAATAGAGTGTGATATCAGAAGAGGCTCCTAGAGCATCATTCAGGCTAGGAGTCTGAATGAGGGGTGGGGTACCTTAGGAAAGTTTGTGTCCAGCATTAGCACATTGAGAGTCAGGCAGGTAACAAACAGGATGCAGCTAGCCCATAGTTCCTTCAATTATTTTTGCCCATGCTCCTTTTCTAGTTTTTAACATTTTGGCATGGGCAAGTTCAAATATATTTAAAGTAAGCATAAGAATATTAAACACATAGCTGGGTGTGGTGGTACACGCCTTTAATCTAGCACTTGGGAGGCAGAAGTAGGCAGATCTCTGTTGAGTTCAAGGCCAGCCTGATCTACATAGCGAGTTCTAGGCCAGCTGGGGCTACAGGAGACCCTGTCTCAAAAAGACAAAGTTTTTTTTAAAAAGGAATATCAAACACACACCCATGGGCCTGTCACCCAGATCTGCTTCTTGTCTATATTTTGCAGTGCACATGTCAAAGTGGTGTTAATAGTAAACAGATGAAGTTCTTTCTTTCTGAGATAAGACTTAATTCAAATTTTTTTTTTTGTTTGTGGTTGTTCATTAGTCCTAAGATTACATTCCTGTTAAAAGCCTGAAACAGCAAAGCTGTGGAGTATGAGATTATCATAGCATACTTCTTTGCTGTTATTTTTAGGACAGGATCTCATATAACAGAGTTCTTAAGGCTTATTTACTCTGCTTTGTCACTGTTTGTTTTTTGAGACAGTGTCTCACACTGTAGCCCAGGCTGATGATC